CATCGCCTTCATCACAAACATAGATACTGCTCTCTGCCAAGGAGTCAACATGATGTTTTTGGAAGCGCACACTTTCCGTTGCCAAGAGGCCTGGGTCAGAGAGCACAAGATGCCCGGTCTGCATGCCCTTTCCGCTCCCTCCTCACCAAGCCTGGGCCTCTTCTCTCCCTGGATGACTCTCCCATGAATTCTAATTATAGGAGAGGGAGAACAACCAGCAGGAAGGAGATATTTTATTTTTATATCTGCTGCCCGTGGATTGCTCTTCACATGGCTCTAGGGGGGAAAAATGTGTTTACAAATGTATCATTATACAGCAGACCTTAAATTGCACAACTATTAGCTGTTACTATTGACTATTGTCAGAGCAGTTCTACTGCCTGGGAAAGGTCAGGTCTTTTCATTTGTGTTTTTTTCATGTGATGAATAACAAATAATGAAGCACAGAATTTATTGGGCTGTTGAGATTTCTCTCTCATATCTGCAGACTAGTTACCGGTTTTGTATTTCCTTCGCTGGCATCAGACAAATCGGTTCATATTTATTTCATTTTTTAATCCCAGAAAGGAAATCTGATTGGGGAAATTACTGCTCAGAAGAGCAACTACAAGCAAATTATATTACTTGTACAAATCTTCACATGCTATTTCATGCCTTTAGCCAAGAGCAGAAAAGCATGCTGGCTCGGCTAGCAGGAGGACAGGTGATCAATGCATCCTAGAGGTGTCAAATGATAGCCTCCTTCATTTCCACACACATCAGGGGCTCTAGCTGGTCTGAAATCTGAAAACAGAAATGATGTACTCTCTCCACTTAGCAGTTCCCTGGCTGGAGAAAGGCGTTAACGGTAGCTGGGAGGGAGAAACAGCGGTTCTAATGCACCATGACCAACTCCTCACCTCCCAGGGGAGCATTATGACTGGCACGGCAGGAAAAACATCGTTGGAGGATAATCACCGACTCGCTAGGCAAGTGCATGTGAATTACATCCGCGGCTTCAAGGAGCCGCACCAGGACGGGAAAGCTGCTGTCCTGCTCAGAGACGCCCCGTGACTTTGGACCTGGGTAATCTGGTTACAAGAAGGTGCTAAATCTTCATAAGGGCTTGGACTTCAGACAAAACAAAACACGTGATCCCAGGGTTTCAGCAGAAGAGATTTTTAAAAAAGGAAATTTAGGCTACTTTCCCTGGTGAATTTCCCTGGTGGTCTAGTGCTTCCACTGCAGGGTGCACGGGTTTGATTTCTGGTTGGGAAACCAAGCGGGCTTCCCGGATGGCGCTGCTGGTTAAAAAAAAAAAAAAAAAAGCCTGCCAATGCAGGAGACTCAAAAGATGTGGGTTCCATCCCTGGGTTGAGAAGATCCCCTGGAGGAGGAAATGGCAACTCTCTCCAGTACTCTTGCCTGGAGAATCCCATGGACAGAGGAGCTAGGGGGAGGGGTGTGGGGGGGGATATTAGAGTCCATGGGGTCATAGAGAGTCAGACTCAACTGCATGACTTAACACACATATTGATGAGGAAGTAAGACCCCACATACCAGCACAGTCAAAAGAAAAAGGAAATTTCTTCAACTAAATAAAAATAAAAATCATATGTCAACTTTAAAAATTATATAGGAAAAATAACCAAAAATAAGTATAGGCAAAAATAAAAAGATCTTGTTGCCAGAATTAAGTACACAAGTGTCCCATGTTAAGTTCTCAGTTAACACTTCTTTGCATCGCTATTATTGTTATCATTGGGAAGAGCAGGGTCTATGCAGAACAGGATTGTTTGCTCAGCCACAACATTGTTTAATCATTTGCTCTGCGACATGCTTCCCAAGTCACCATGGATGGATTGGAAGAGGTGAATTTCATTAGAGGACACCTGCCATGTGAATCAAAATTGCCAGGAGAAACATCAGTAACCTCGGATATGCAGATGACACCACCCTTATGGCAGGAAGTGAAGAACTAAAGAGCCTCTTTTTGAAAGTGAAAGAGGAGAGTGAAAAGTTTGGTTTAAAACTCAACATTCAGAAAACTAAGTTCATGGATCTGGTCCCATCACTTCACGGCAAAGAGATGGGGAAACAATGGAAACAGTGACAGACTTTATTTTCTTAGGCTCCAAAATCACTTCAGATGCTGACTGCAGCCATGAAATTAAAAGATGCTTGCTCCTTGGAAGAAAAGCTATGACCAACCTAGACAGCATATTAAAAAGCAGAGGCATTACTTTGCCAGCAAAGATCTGTCTAGTCAAAGCTATGGTTTTTAAAGTAATCATGTATGGATATAAGAGTTGGACCATAAAGAAAGCTGAGCACCAAAGAATTGATACTTTTGAACTGTGGTGTTGGAGAAGATTCTCTTGAGAGTCCCTTGGACAGCAAGAAGATCCAACTAGTCCATCGTAGTGGTAATCAGTCTTGAATATTCATTGGAAGGACTGATGCTGAAGCTGAAATTCCAATACGTTGGCCACTTGATGCAAAGATGCAAAGAACAGGAAAAGACGCTGATGCTGGGAGGGATTGGGGGCAGGAGGAGAAGGGGACGGCAGAGGATGAGATGGCTGGATGGCATCACCACTCAATGGACATGAGTTTCAGTAAACTCCAGGAGTTGGTGACGGACAGGGAAACCTGGCGTGTTGCAGGCAATGGGGTCGCAAATATTCGGACACGACAGAGCAACTGAACTGAATTGAACTGCTGTGTGACTGGAACTGTCTGAGTCAATTTCCAAAATGTATTCTGTTTGGCACTTGTAACCAGCCTATGAGACAAACAGTCACACATTCAGCAAATGAAGAGACTTGGCCACAGAGAAGCCATGCTCGTTACTAAAACTCAGGGCTCCCGGGAGAGTGACCTGGTGCCACACTGCGGCCAAATGCCAGGCACAACTTTGTTGAGCTGTGCCTTATTTCCAGAAACCGCCTACACATGAGGAAAACAGTCACACGGTGAAGACAAAGCACAAAAAAGATAGTAGAGAAAATCCAACTAAGTGACCAAACACAGCAGAAAAGCGATGAGAACCCCGGTTAGGAGACAGAAATTATGTGATCAAATTTTACATTTCTAAAACTCTATGCTATTTTCAAGAGATAGATCTAAAACATAGGGAAATAGACAATGTTAAAGTAAAAGGGTGAGACCGTATGCATTGATCAAGAATGTGACGCAAACTTAATAGAAATGTTAAGGAATGGCATTCAATACTATAAAACAGAGTAACTATATAATGATATAAATAGTCAATTCACCGGGTAAAGCAAAAAGTTCTAAACATGAATGCACTACTTAATATGCCTCAAAATAAATAATGCAGAAATAAACAGAACTACAAGGAGAAAAGGATAAGTCCTCCATTGCATCAGAGAATTTAGCATCTTACTCTAAAATAGGTAAGGATGAAAAAACAAGATTAAACAATGAACAAACTTGAACTAAGAACAAGAACCATATTTTTTAAAATCATACTGAAAATTTTAGAAAATTAGCAATACAAATATCTTTAAGCCAAATGACAACTGATTTCTAGGGAATAACATGAAAAAATTCAGTCCTCAACCTGAGTACAATTAAGATAGATCAAAATCTAAGAAGCTAGCTAGAGAATGAAACAAACTTCTGACAACCAATAAGTAATTTGTATAATGCATAAATCAAATATGTACATTAGACTAAGATAAATATATACACATATATACTCAAGGCTATAGATTTACTTCAGATGACTGTCTTAGCAGCAGTCATGACTGAAAATTAATCTGCTTAAGAAGTCAGAATGAGAAGTAAATGATGAAATAAATTTATAAAAAATTAAAAGAAGAAAATAAGCATAAAAAGAGAAATTAATAAGAGAGAAATAAGTATTAGGTAGAAATGATCAACAAGGTTATATATTGGCATTTGAACCAATATACCTCTAAGATATAAAAGAGAGATAGAGAGAAACAACATTAAGGAATAGAAAGAGGTCAATACAGTACATGCTGAAGACATTAAAATGCTAATGAAGCATATCATTAACAAGTTTCTACCAGTGCATTTGAAAGCTTAGGTGAAGGGAGCAAGTTTCTGTAGCCATGCAACTTTCCAAAATGATTCAGGAAGATATAGAAATCCAAAGAGTCCTATATCCCTTAAACAAATTCAATTAATTAATTCAAATTTTTCTCACAAATGAAACACCAAACCCATACCCAACTTCTGTTTGACAGAAGTTACAAACATTTAAGACAAAATTGATTCCAATGTATACAAGCTCTTCTAGGGGATAAAAAAAAAATGAGAAAATGCCTTGTGTTTACATTGCTATTTCACTAATGTTCTACTGCATGATAAAAGGAAATATAAACATTTCTCCATTTGGGAAATGTGTTTCTATAAGTTCTCTGATATACATTCATACATATTCTGCATATACATTGCAGCTATATAATCTGACACGTGGCATTTTGACGTGTGACATTCCAAATACTGAAATCCGTGCTTCCTAACTCTAGGGCCAATGGCAGCAATGCAGGCACAGAGGTGAAGACTTGGATTTGCAAAGCAGCAACGCTGCACCCAACCGCCCACGGCCTTCTGCTCGATGGACAGAACATAATAGTCTAGCAAAATGCGCCCAGGGCCTCTTAAGGACTCAGGACTGTGCAGGCATTGCTTTCCAGCTTTGTAGCAACTTTGGAAGACAGGCTGTGCTCCTTTTTTTCCCAGAGAAGAAAAGTGAGGTGCGTGTGCTAAGCAGCACCTAAACAAAACAGGGCTGCCAAGTGGAGGCGCCGAGCTGGGTCTCCGGGTCATCTTCGCGACGACTGGCTTCTCTCATCACATGTTTTCCTTAATTAAATATGGCCTGGTTCCATTCGATTAAATTAGCACTCATTCGGTGCTTCCTAGGAGCAAGGTATCACTCTGCTTGATGTAGTGGCAATGGCCGGCCTCTGAGAGCATCGAGCAAAAGTGGACGCGTGGGAGAGACCGCAGAGCAGAGCCGGCGCATGCACGAGGCAGGTCGCATTACTGTTCTCAATCGTTCGCTCCCTCCCAGTAAGGAGATCGAGTCTCCCCATGTTTCCACATCACCTGCCGAAGCCCCCTTCCTCAGCTGGGACTGCGGAACACAGGATTCCGCCAGTGAGTGGGACGTGGGTGCACAGGACATGTACCACATATGAGCAGAGCGACAGGGCCACCAGCGGCCTTGACGTCCAGACAGGGCCCGGGATGAGGGACCTGGAGCAGCGTCCAGCAGGGTTCTGTTTGCAGCTGACCCGCAGCGGCCACGCTTATCACGTGAGCAGGAGAGAGGTGCTCTTTATGGTGAGGAAGTGAGACGTGTGTGCTACTGTTACCTTAGCAAACTCAGCTGCTCTACACATGTTTGTGCAAGGACACACACTCACATGCTACAGTATGAAGTGATGCAAAAATCAGGGAAGGTTTCAGAGAAGGGCCAACAGTTGACCTGAAGTTTGAAGGTTTTGACCAATATTCACTCTGCTCCTCTAAATCCAACGTTACCTTCTGTCATCTGAGCTTGCACACACCCGACCTTAGGGATCCTGTGCTTGTCTCTGCTCCCACCATCCTGCCACAGGATCCACCCCCAACAGAAGCCCAAGCTCCTCTCTCGTGTCCTTGAGTCACACTGGCCACGACCGCTGGGACACACCAGAAGTTCCTAAAGCAATGACACCACACCGGTTTACCTTAGGAAAACAGAGTCTTGTTTTGCTCAGCCAGTGGGGAAAATATGAATGCCGAGTTAACAGGGCTGTGTTTTCTCATAAACAAGAGCCAAATATCCTCAATTCATCACAATCTATCAGTATCTTCTTGTTTATTAACTCAGGGTGCCTGTTCAGTCAATTCATTCTCATTCGACTCTTTGAGACCCTATGGACTGTAGCCCCCCAGGCTCCTCTGTCCATGGGATACTCCAGGCAGGAACACTGCAGTGGGTTGCCATTTCCTCCTCCAGGGGATCATCCCAACCCAGGGATCTGATCTTTGTCTCCTGCAGTGCAGGTGGATTCTTTACCACTGAGCCACTTGGGAAGCTCTTTAACTTGTAGACACTCTTCTCTGTTACTTCAAAAAGCAATTTGGCTGGTTGAGGGTTGAGGAATATGGGGACATACCCAAGTCCTTCATCTCCTGCTCCATCCCATCAGCAATTCCCTCAGGTTCTAAGTTAACCCAGTGACTGGGGAGGGGCAAGGCCTGGAACTGAGGACTCCTGACACATCATTGATCTCAGCTTAGTTTAGATGCACTGATCTGGGTGTGGTACAGATGACTTCCATCCAAAATACCAGAGGAAGGGGTCCTCTCCAATGCTGTCATCTGTAAGCCTGTAGGCAGAATGAACAACAAGCCTGACACTTTGGAAAAAGCTGGGACTCAGGCATTATCCGTAGAATGATGAATGCACTCTTGATAAAAGAAAGACCCACCAAAGCCAGGATTGCAACACTGGTTTCAGGCAAGAGGTCACAGGCAACCACAATGCAGGCCCTGAACATTTCAAAACAAGGTCAGCAGGGTTTGGAAAACACAGGCTGCAAAGTGAGGAGTGTGTCTTCACATGGGTCTGTCCCCCAACCATCCATCCGACCCAACCCAAATTGTGAGTACCTGGCCTTCGAACTGGGCCAGCTTTTGACTTTGGATTTGACCACAGATTCTCTTGTTCCACCATTAGGGAGTAATTGATCTCTGAGAAATAAATTTCAGGAAAATATTGGGAAAAGGAAGGCAGATGGTCCTTGGCTAGGTCAGGAAATGCAGAACAGTCTCATCCTTGAAGAACGTTCTGAGGTTCTTCACCTGCCCTCTCTCACTGGATGTTGGATCACAGGTTTCAGTGACTTTTTTCCCAAACTCTGACTTTGGGAAAGCAGTGACAGAAGCAGTAGGCAATCAACGAGATTTTGATTAATGAGTTACAAATAGTGAAAAGTGAGTCACTCGAAGTCACTCAGTCGTGTCCAACTTTTTGTGACCCCATGGACTAATCAGTCCACGGAATTCTCCAGGCCAGAATACTGGAGTGGGTAGCCTTTCCCTTCTCCAGGGGATCTTCCCAACCCAGGAATTGAACCCAGGTCTCCCGCACTGAAGGTAGATTCTTTACCAGCTGAGCCACAGGGGAAGTCCAGATAGCAATTATAATTACAAATAGCAATCGGGCTAGCGGAAGTGGATGAAGGAGGTAAGATAAAGTTTCTAGTTTGTTACGTGTTTATATTGCTATATAAAGGCTGAGGAAATAATCAGCCTTTATAACATAATTGTTAGTGGCACAGTCTTTTGAATCAGGTGGGTCTATAAAGTCTCTCTGTTATTTGTAGCTTGGAGCCATTGGCAAGTCGCTCAGCCTTTCAGAAACTCAATATTTTCTTTGATAAAGTAGGGATGATGTCTCTGAGGAAGAATGGTGTATGAATTAAAATTAGGTCATGGAATGCTGAATTTTCATGACAAGATCTGGTACACAGTGTACGTTCAAAGGACAGTTTATGTGTGCGTGTATTTTGAAAAGAAAGTTACTGTTCCATGATAGGAAAGGGAGGACTTCAATTTAAAGGAAGTGCTGGAAATAATGAAGGTAACATTTGCTGTTGGTAGAGGGTGAGTGGAAGGGAGGCGGGTTAGAAATAATGAAACCGAGAGCATGGAAAAGGAATTTACAGCATATCTCGAAGCCCTGCTCAGGAGCCCTAAAAAGGTTAATGCAACAGCTTACCTGTCAGCAGACACAGGATTGAAAGGGAATCCTTAGGGCCACTGCCATGACATCGATGGGGAAGAACCTCTTTCAGCCTGAATATCTCAGTAAATAGTCACATAAAATTTTCCGTAAATAGTCATGCTTTACTCTTTTTAGTTTTGTACCTGCTTTCTTTTTCCTTGACTCACTATATCTCAACAAGAGGAAAGATGTTTTTTTTAACTACTTTGCTCTCTGGAAAAGCACCCGTACGCTTTCTAACCAGTGCATATGGCGCCGCGTGTCTGAGGACACCTGGCTCACGTGTGTGCAGGCTCGTGTGTGCACTCCTGTGCCTGAACCACAGGCATTGCCCCGAGCAAAGAAAGCTTCTTCACTGAAGGCAATCACAGGGCATTGCAGGCGGGCACCTACACGACACCCTTACATAGAAGGTTAACGGAGAAAAGCAGGCAGGGCCCCGACGTCATCACAGACTCTGCCTCCTGTTATTTGCTAGTAAGTTTCATGAAAAACTCATTCCAATTAGCATAATTCCTTAATGCTGCATCATAACATCAGTAAGTACTTCTAGATCCTTTTGACTCAGTTGAAAATTATTCTAAATATGGGTCCTAGAATTAAACACATCTCTGCACATCTAGTTCATCACCGCCAAAGCTACGGAATTCTCAGTAATTTCTTTTACAACTTGGCCTCTTTTTTTATGTACTCTTTACAGTATATTTTCTCATGTAAGTGCCCCAGATGCCCCCCAAAAGTGAAAGAAATGAATTGCACTAAACTATGGAACAGGCTGATTCTGTAGCACCATCTAGAGCCTTGGGAGATCATGACAGTCTTTCTAATAAGCAAAACATTCTCTTCCTCTCCTAGAAATTTACAGTTTGAGGGGGGAAAAAAATGCCTTTTTATCCTCCTTACACTCATCAATTTAACCCTGATTGTTTAAATCCATGGTATACCAGTGGCCCTCACTTTGATAACATCTTGTCTTTTCTGACAAACGTCTTTGAGTGCAGTTACAAGACCATGAAGACCTCACTGAGACGGACCAGAATATTTCAGGGCCTATTGTTCAATCATGAAACTCAGTCCCAGACAGAAATGGGGCTTCCCTGGTGCTTCAACTGTACAGACCCCTCCTGCAATGCGGGAGAGGTAGGTTCCATCCCTGGAGAAGGAAATGGCAACCCACTCCCGTATTCTTGCCTGGAGAATCCATGGACAGAGGAGCCTGGTGGGCTACAGTCCACGAGGTCGCAGAAGAGTTGGACACGACTGAGCGACTAAACAACAACAAAAACAACATCCTGAGGAAAAGATATTTTCAAGCATTACATCAGATAGGGTTTTATTAAAGGTAGGAAAATATTCAACTGGACATTTACGCAAATGCATCTTTGACCAGTGCATCTGTTTTGAATGCCAAGTAAAACGTGTTAGAGAAAAGCAAAGGAAGAAGCACAAAGTGTCTATTATTTTTCCAGCGTGCTTCCCCATTTCCGTTCCAAACCACTTGTTTATCTCAGGCAAGTTGGCAGTCTCCGGGGTGCGTCTGCCTTTAATGAATATTTCCTTTTCCAGAAGGCTGCCCAAAGCTATCAGTGATCCCTGTTTCCTCTGAATTAATGCCATTTATAAGCGGTAAAAGGGGAAAATGTTGGCAATACATGATTATGGATTAAATGATGCAGTTTCAGGGTCAGTCTACAGAAAGCACTTAAGGAAGGATCTGACAGGCGAAGATGAATGGGCGCGAAGGCGGTGTTTACAGCAGTCCCAGCCCAGGGCCGGGCGGACGCCCGGACTCTGCTGACACCTGCTGGCGGCCGGGAGACCCGAGCCCGCGCGACAGCACAGCACCGGGCCGTCGTTGGCTCGTTGAGAACAGCTCTCCTTGGAGGTCACGGCTCGCCTTTAGCCTAGGAGACCTGTCAATTAGCCTTATCTCCGTATTCTGACTCTTGTCCGGAAACATGTTCTGAACCCCTGACGCGATGTGTTCGGTGTGCAATTCCGTAACGCTTTATCGAAGCCAATAATACATTTAAATAATATAGACGTGAGAGCAAGCCAGACCTAAAAGAGAGAACTGGAGATCAGTTTGAGGTTATGAATTAAGTTATCATTTTAGGATATTCTCTGCCCCCATGCAGTCAATACATGAACACTGCATTTTGCCAAAATTTGGTTGAAATATGAGAAATGCATTCAGGAACTCTGTGAGCCTGTACACATACCTCCATCCAGCAGGGAAGCTCTGCCTTCTCTCTCTCCCTCTCCAGTCTCAACAGGGCTGAAAATAAATTTGATGCAGTATTTCTAATTTTTTTTTTCGTCTTTCAAATTGACTAAGTATTTGATTTCTCCCCAGAGTCTGACTGTCAGTTCTAGGTCGAGATGTGATTTCTGCCGTGCATTAAAGCTAATTTGGATTGTGAAAAAGTACAAGGCCAGGAAGTCAATTCCAAGCCCAGATATCCTGAGAGGAGAGGGCAGGATAAGCAGCGAGAAATTAGTCAGCCCGGCCTTGAGCCATTTCACTGGCTTGGGCGGGAGGGCTGGTGGGATTCCCCGGGAAACTGACCCCGGGAGCTGCAGTCCCAGCCCTTTGGCGGTGTGTGGCTTGGCCTCACTGCGTGAGAAATGGAAATAAGGCGTCTGTCAGGAGCATGGGAAATCTCGGGGAGGTGGAAATGCAGACGACTAATTACAATACAGGGAAGCTGCAATTCCCACAGCTTCCTGAGCTGCATTCACAACTCTGGTGGGAGGGGAAGGGAAGATATCTGAGGCCTTTCATTGGAGCCCAGAGGTACTTTAATGTTGTGATACCCCTCAGTGGGGTGAGCTGAGAAAGCTCACCCCAAGGGCTCTTGGATACAACACTGCTTTTCTCTGTGTAAAGGGAAGCTGGCAGTAAGGGCTCCTCTGGGAAATAATGGTTTAAAAGTTTATAAATAGCTGCAGGTACCTCTTCCCTCTGGCCAGGTATGCTTCTCTCCAGGAATGTATTTAGCAGGCTCACTTGTTGTTTTGTTGCTCTAGCTTGATGTGTTATTCCCCTGGATTATCAGCCAATGAATATTTATATTAGAACAGCATAAGTGTATTCTTTCCTGTCATTCTAATCAAATATATTCAACAAAATATAGCAAAACAAATTCACGTATTTCTCAAATGAATGTCAGAAAAATAGGTTCATGGGCGATATGTCTTCTACCTGAGAAAAAGGATAAGACCTGATTACTGAGTAACAAGGCTCACGGGCACTGCTGGTCAGTTCGCAAGGATGGGAAAACGAGGAGGAGGCCCACACGCCAGACCAGCGCACAAGGCGGTGCTGCGTGGACCACGTGATGGACGTGATGGATCCTGAGCTACATGCCAGCTGAGGAGCTGACGAGGAAATCAACTTACTTCTTACCTCACTTTTTCTCCTCCTGAGTGTGTTGGGTGTGACATTTATTTTGAAACTTTAATACAGATGTATTATGCTATCTTTTCATTGAACTTTGTATAGCTATTCCTCTATTATGAAAACATACATTTATATAAACATTAATAATTGGATGTAAGGATTCATTCCAATTTTCTCATTACAAAAAGAGGTAAAATAATTTAAAACTTAGAGCTATATTTCCCCACATTTTTTATTATTTTTCTAGCCTGGATCCCCAGTAGTAGAAATATGGATGTAAAAGTTAAAAATATCTAAATTATTTCACTTCATATAATCAAAACACTCTAGTAATGAAATCTTAACTCTCATAGCAATGTATAGAACTAGCTCATTGCTCAGTATACTTTTTGCTAATTTAACTTGCCAAAAATGGTTTATGGGGAAAATGAGCTACTGAGTTTGTTTATTCTCCTAGATAGAGAAAAACAATGGAAAGTAGGGAATATGGCTCCAAAGCCTGGAAAACAGTTCTGGGCTAGAGATATTGAGCTTAGGGTTTTGGGGGAAGCAGAAAAGAGTTGAAGCCAGGAGCTTTTGGGAAGCACACCCAGGTTATGTGCTCAGCTGTGTTCTTTAATTACTTTAAGTTTGAACAAAAAATGATAGAAAGTGGCAAAGAGTAGTAAAAACAATGTGCAAGACAATGGCTATAATGTCACTGATGATGAAAATATCAGTAATAAAAACATGTATTCAGAACATGTTCGGTTCCAGGCTACCCATGCGCATTTATTCACAACAAGGCAATCATACATGGTAAGTGCTATTAATATTGCTATTACAGAAATGAGGAACTGAGGTCCAAAGCTCAACTCACAGGTGTGGATATGAAACTTCCTTCCAGTTTGTCTGAATCCAAAGCTTGTGCTCCTATCCATCAAGTTAGGCCACTCACACAACAGTCATTAATTAATGAAGATGTTGGATTGACAGACAGAAATTGAGCTTTAGACTATATTTAATAGGTTTGTTGACTTAAAGTTCTTAAAATTCCTTTTGCTCTTAGAGAAGTTGCTAAATATTGTATATATAAATACATATATGAAATTAAAATAAACAAATACTAATATATAGAAATATAGCATATGTCTATATTACGTATACATATACAAATATAACCTAATTCATAAAATTAGAACTGTAATTGAAAATTAAGCAGTAATATTTCCAATCTGTATTTCATGACTTCAGCATAAAAATGCTTTAAGTACTTTAAAATGTAGTTGATGAAATGCTTGTGCCTTTGTGTGAAGCAGCCTGATTGTTAAAGGCCTCAGCTTTGAAGAGCCTCACATATTCTTGATATTTACCTCCAGAAGCTTCCCATGCAATCTGAGAAGAAGTCCCTAGAACTTCCTACAGAGGGTGAGGAAAAGTGGCAATTTTGGTAAAAGTTCAGAACTCTCTGTTTTTCTTAACAGGTCTGCCCTCAAGGGAGGTGATTTTACTAGAAATTTGCTTATTAGGGTTTTTCTGAAAGCTATCTGAACTAGGGGAAGGGAAATATCCAACTCAAGCTCACTAAGACACTGGGACTTACTCTCAGGACCATAGAATGATTCCTCTGCCAACCTCTTACCTCCGCATCAAGAAGGCATTGACATCACAACAGGAGATTGCAGCTAAAAGAACGACAAGCCTCAGATCCTGCTTCAGGAGGCTCTAGGGAAACCCAAAGGAAACAGAGGAGACAAAAGCAAGGATACTACAGGAAAATTTAACCTCAGACATACACCATGACTGCTGCAAACATTAAACATAGCCTAACCTCCAGCCAGATAAACAAAACTTCACACCAAAGGACTCTCTTCTTTTGTTCCTTTTACCTAATGTATTATGTCCTCCTTCAACAAAAAAGTCAGAAGGCATGCCAAAAGTAAAAAACAAAGTATTGAAGAGACAAACCAGGAATTAGAACCATACTCAAATGTCACAAAGATTTGGGAATGACCAGACATGGAATTAAAAATCACTATGATGAATATGCTAGATCTTCCAGTGCAAAAGTTAACAATGTACAGGAAAGTATGGGTAACACAAGGAAGGAGATGGAGACTCAGAAAGAATCAAACAGAAGTGTTAGAACTCAAAAACACTGTAACAGAAATGAAGATTGCTTCTAATGGCCTTATCAATAGACCAGACACGGCCAAAGAAAGAACCAGTATTCTTGAAGTTATGTGAATAGAGATCTCTACAACAGAAATGCGAGAGGATAAAGCAATGAGAAATGTGGAACAGAATAGCCAAGAAGTGTGGGCCGATCACACAAGATGTAAGGCACACACAATAAGAATACTGGAAGAAGCAAAAAAGGAAAAGAGGAAATGTTTGAAACAATAATGGCTGACAATTCTGGAAAATTAATGACAGGTATCAAGCTACAGATCTAGGAAGCTCATAGAATACCTAACAAGATGAATACCAAAAATCTACACCTAGGCATATGATATTCAAACTTCAGAAAATTAAGACAAGGAGAAAATTTTTGAAAGAAGGCAGAGGGAAAAAATAATCCTATACTCTATACACTGGACTCCTCTTCAGAAACCATGGAAGCAAGAAAGAATCTGGGTGTAATATTTTAAATATTCAGAGGAAAAAAACCTTCAGCATATCCAGGGAAATCATAATTTTAAAAGTGAAGGAGAAATAAAGATTTTTGCAGAAAAATAAAAATTGAGGGAACTTATTTCCAGTTGCTGCTGCTCTTAAGTTGCTTCAGTCGTGTCCAACTCTGTGCGACCCCATAGACGGCAGCCCACCAGGCTCCCCTGTCCCTGGGATTCTCCAGGCAAGAACACTGGAGTGGGCTGCCATTTCCTTCTCCAATGCATGAAAGTGAAAAGGGAAAGTGAAGTCGCTCAGTCGTGTCCGACTCTTCGCGATCCCATGGACTGCAGCCCACCAGGCTCCTCTGTCCATGGGATTCTCCAGGCAAGAGTACTGGAGTGGGTTGCCATTGCCTTCTCCATTATTTCCAGCAAACTTGCTTTATAAGTAAAGTGAAAAGAAGTTTTTGAAAGAGAAAAAATTTTATAGGTTGAAATTCAGATCTACATTTTAAAAGAAAGAGCATTAGATAAAGAATAAATAAGATAAATAAAATGTTTTATCTCTTATTTTTAATTCATTAAACAGATAACAGGTTTTTTTTCTAATTATAATATCAACAATGTGTCAGTGATTGTAGCATATGAAGTGAAGTGAAAGTCGCTTAGTCATGTTTGCCTCTTTGGACCCCTTGGACTATACAATCCATGGAATTCTCCAGGTCAGAATACTGGAATGGGTAGCTGTTCCCTTCTCCAGGGGATCTTTCTGACCCAGGGATTGAACCCAGGTCTCCCACATTGCAGGCAGATTCTTTACCAGCTGAGCTACTAGGGAAGCCCCTTGTAGCATATGGATAAGTGAAATGAGTAACAGCAGTGTTGCTAGGGATGGGGGAGGGAATTATGAATTCTATGTTACAAGGTCTTGTGCTAAACATGAAGCAGAATATTGTTATTTGAAAGTGACTTGGATTAGCTGTAACTATATTGCAAACACTAAGATGACCACTAATAACGTCAAAAAGGAGGTATAACTGACTTGCTAATGGAATAAAGAAAACCAGATCATATCAAATACTCAGTAAAAATCAGAGAAGGCAGAAAAAGAGGAAAAGTCAAAAAACAAAGGAAAAAAGGCAATGAACAGAAAGCATCTACAAATAGAGTAGATATTCATATAAATATATAAATGATCAGCTTTAAATGTTAACGGTATAAATATATCAATCAAAACACAAAAACTTTCAGAATAGTACAAAAACAAGAACCAACTATATGTTGTTTATAAGAAACCCACTTTAAATATAAAGGCACAGATTGACTCAAAGTAAAGAGATGGAGAAGTGTACACCAAACTAACACTAATCAAAAGAAAAATGGAAATTTTATACTAATTTCAGACAAAGCAAACTTCAGAGCAAGAAAAATTAACAGAGAAAAACAAAAGCATTACTTGATGGTGAGAGGATCAATTTTCCTAGAGGACATGACAGTCCTTAATATGTATGCTCGTGACAACAGATCATCAAAATATGTAGGACAAAATTGCAAAGAAAAATATATGAACCCACTATGACAGTTGGCAATTTCAATACCCTTGCTACAGTAATAGATTCAGCAGGGAGAAAATCTGTAAAG